CTATACCAAGTCTATGTATCCAATATATTTGTAGTGTGATTTCTGACCTTATGAAAAAAGCTTCTCTTAACAAGAAGAACTTGCATTCAGTCTGGTTTCTCCCACTGAAGGTATGATCCGAAGGAGAACAAGTGGACTCGGGTGGCTTCTATGAGCACCAGAAGACTAGGCGTGGCCGTGGCTGTGTTAGGAGGGTTCTTATACGCTGTGGGTGGCTCTGACGGGACGTCTCCACTCAACACAGGTTAGTGCCTCCCAAACGCAGTCTGGTTCCCCAAAAGCAGCACATTTCCCTAAGGAGAGTCCCCCTATAAAACGTATAAAAAGTCTAGGTTATCCTATAATTTATTAGGAAAATGCTTTATTTTTCCTCTAGGAGAGTAACTCTCAGCTCTTCCTAAGCTCCTTCTGCAGACATAGTCTTCTAGTACATTCCCAAATATTTCTTTCTCCCTCTGCTTTACAAGCTGCTGGAGATTATATAATGAATGAAAGACCTACTTTCTCATATGATTATTTCCCTCCCCCTACCGTCACCACCTCTCCTCAAAAAAAAGAAATAGACTGTAATCTGAGAATAAATAAAAACCTAGAACTAGAAATTGGTTTATTGCTAGTCCCTTCTATTTAGAGATAATGAGTATTTTTGCATAAGGATATTGTCAGTGTGGCACTCACATCAAATTCATTGTCATATATCTTTTCCTTTCAATGGCTTAAAATGCTCTAGTCTATAGGCAAGGGAGTACAGGAGTTGTCTGATTATGATAATAAATTTTTAGTACTGAATGGTGCTTGTAGATCATACAGTCCAATCTCCCCATTTAAAGCTAAGGAGAATGAGGGTATGGGGCATGTAGCTAATTTGCCAAATTTGTCATATTGCCAAAACTAGAACCCAAATATCTTGACTCCAACACATGCCCTTTCTACCATACCATGCCTAGAAGAAACCAGTCCCTGCTGAGAGTATATGTAGTGTTGTCTAGAGGTATGCAAGTTCTCAGAAGCAAAAATCTGATTGTTTTTTGAAAATATGTGTTATCACAAAGTTTTGGTGGCTATGAGGAAAACTAGAGGTGAGAGGAAATGGTTGAATGATCACTTGCTGGCTTTTCCTTTCCCTGCAGTGGAGCGCTACAATCCTCAGGAAAACAGATGGCACACAATAGCCCCTATGGGGACCCGGAGGAAGCACCTAGGCTGTGCGGTGTATCAGGACATGATCTATGCCGTAGGAGGTAGAGATGACACTACGGAGCTCAGCAGTGCTGAGAGGTACAACCCCAGAACTAATCAGTGGTCTCCAGTGGTGGCCATGACATCCCGCCGCAGTGGAGTAAGTACCCAGCTACTGAGTGCTTTGAGCTTCGAAAACCAAGCACCAAGACAGGGCTCTGCAGAAGGTGTGCTGTGATCTGTAAAATACAATACGCTTGACCAGTGCAGAGGTGAACTGCTAGTGCCTACGTGTTTTATTTTCCAGCTGTCTCATCCGATGCTATTGGGATGCTTGTAGGCAAAACAAGCTCTGCTAATTTTGCCAGAAAAAATATTCAATTTCTTTTGATTGCTCTTATCTCAAGTAGTTAAAAATCTTACATCCAGTCATATCTTTAATTAGAGAGTTAATTTTTTATGATTTATCTTATATCAGTTGCTTCTCTGGAAGGCATCTCCTTGTGTCATCTACTACCTTATCTAACTTCCTATCTATTGGAGCCAAATATGCCTACCTAATGTTTCTAGCTAATATTCTGAGTAGTTGTCATACTAATACAAATGTTTAGGCAAAAACCCATGTGGCCCCACCACCAGTCTCCACAAGCTGGTTTGAGTCTATCCCATCTATAATATAGGCCAGATCAGGCTGACCTGTGTCATTCTAGACCATGCATGACCTGCGAGTACAAGAGACTTTCAGAGTGAAGTATAGGATTCATCCATCCTGGGATGTTTGCTCAGGGTGAGGTGTAACCCATTAGCCACTGATCATGTCAGGAGTCCGTCAGTGTAGGACAGACACATCCACAACAGGAAGGAGAAGCAAGCAGTGGCTAAAGACTCCATAATCTGAGGATAAAAGGGAATGAATTCTGATTTACATAAATCAAGGTCCACCACTG